TTTCCAGCCGCGTCCGTCTGGGCGTGTGAATTGCCGCGATTCGGGCAGCCAGCGGGGCGAGCGCGAGGCGAGGCTCCCGCGCCCCTCGCCGGCGGTCGGGAGGCTGACGCGGAAGTGCTCGGGACGAAGAGCGCGCTCGAAGGCCGTCGCTGCGCCCGGACGGAGGGAAGTAAGAAGCAGATCGTAATCACACGCAGGTAGGCACGCGCGCACCTGTATACATACGCACGCACTTGTATATATCCACGGACACACGCACACGCACACGCAACACACACACACACGCACACGCACACGCACACGCACACACACTTGAGCAAACCCAGGGAGAAATCAAGCGAGATAAGATAAGGGTAAACTTAATCTGCTCGCTAAAGCCGCGAATTAAGTGCAGGCGGCAGAGGTGGACAAAGAACGAAACGCGAGCGCCAAGCCGAACCACAAAGGAAAGCGGCGACGAATCCTATTACTCCTGTTTCGTCCTTTTGTGTTTAAGCGGCACTTCTTTGCTGTGAAGGTCACGTGGCCAGGGTCAGGTGCCTTTCCAATGGCGTCGAACCGGCGGCGCTTGGTCGCTGGGAAGGCTTAGCCGAGAGGCTGGCGAGGCGGAGCAACGCCTTTCGGAGCTCCGCTGTGACTTCCGCGGCGTGTCAGTGTTAGTATTTTAAAACCCGATCTTCGTCAGGGTGTTCCTCCCGGGGCGTTGGTGTCGAAGCGACTCGGGAGCAGAGGCGCAAAGACCGTGAGGCCTGGCGACGGCTGCCATTGTGGACGTATTGCTGTGCACATGATTTTCCCTGTAAACCCACGGTATTACTTTGCCCTTTCATTACATGCACACCATAATGTCAGTATCTGAAAACTTAGTCATGAATGTCAATATTCGAGAAGTTCGTTATACTGCCACAGTATTTCAATTATCACCGCTGTTGTCTTGATCCCCTCCACAAATCGTGATTAAAAGCATCTGTTTTCTTCTCTCCTCTTTCAGTCTTCAAAAGCTTTTACGTAATGTACTGTATGGATAATTGTACAGTACCCGTCATACCCCAGAGCCAGATGTGGTCCCGTGTCCACATTAGACGTTAAGGCACATCCCTAGAACCACGTGTAATAAACCCCTGGATGCTGCTGGATGCCTCGTTCCTCTTCGCCTCTTCTTATCTGCTGCTTCTCCCTCCGCCTCTTCTTCTCTCCTTTCCTACTTTTTTCTTCCTGATTTCCCCCCACTTCCTCCTCCTCGATAGGATGCTCAAGGATGGCCAGTTCCTCTCTTCCTGCCTCTCTGTAGGGATGCTGTAAGGCGGTCAGTTCCTCTCCTCCTCCTCGATAGGATGCTGTAGGCAAGCCTCTTCTCCCCCCTCTCTCTATAGGATGCTATAGGGTGGCCAGCTCCTCTCGTGATCCTCCTCCTCCTTCCCTATAGGAAACTGTAGGATGGCCAGTCCCTCTCCAGCTCCTCCTCCTCCTCCTCTATGGGATGCTGTAGGATGGCCAGTTCCTCTCTCGACTGCGACTCCAGCTGATGCCAGTGATTGCTCGCAGCGGAGTCGCCCGCCGGGGGGCGCGGCCGTCCCAAGTTATTTACTGCTGCTGTGGACAAGGTCGTCCGCTTCTCTGATGCTGTTATGGATGTGTAATTAGCCTTCGTTTTTAGGTCTACGAATTTTTATTTATTATTATTGTTATTATTATTATTAGTAGTAGTAGTAGTAATAGTCTGAAAAATAGTTTGTTTAGTGGGCTCTATGTCGAATTCCTCTTTTCTCGTAAGGGTGAGCGTATAAGAGAGGTATGTACCCCCACACGACCAAGAAGATAATTACCATGATGAAATGAATTATAATGACTGAAGTTATTTTGATCCTGATATCCGGCGCCACAAATAAAGCGAGAACGAAATAAAAAATCTCGAAATAGAAAGGAAAGAGAGAAGAAAGGAAATGGTCGAAGAAAGGAAAACGAATATGAAAACAAATCACGAAATACAAATGAAAGAATAAGAACAAAAACTCAAATCACCGCCTGTCAAAAAAAAAAAAAAAAAAAAAAAAAAAAAATCCCATACCACAAATGTAACACGAATCACGACATGAAACACAAACAAACAAACAAACAAAATGACATCCCTCGATGGCCTGAGTGCGTAGAGAGGTCATTCGAGCTCCCCGCGGACCCCTGGCGGGAGCTGGGGGGGGGGGGGGGGGGCTGGCCTGTTCCTTCGCGCCGTCGGGACACCAATGGCTGGGCACTGGGCAGGCGGGGCATGGGAAGAGGCAGGGGGACGGGGGGGGGGGGGGGGACTGGCACCTTTGTTTCTTTTTTGGGGTGCGAGACTAGATTGGGGAGTCAGTTGGAAGCGCTGGTGGTATCTGGGTCCTGGTGTTGCTTTCTGGGGATTGGTGTTGACTCACGGGTACTTCTTGGTACTGGTTTTGACTTCTGGGTACTGGCACTGGGCACGGTGACCCGGACTTGATGTGGCACAGATGACGTCACTGGGAAGAAAACAAAAGGAGAGGAAATTATCAGGTTAAGTAGGGAAAGAGGGGGGGTAAGGGGGGGAGACCTACTTACCGAAGGTCCCGAGTGTAAGTGCAATCCACTTGTTTTTTCCTTTTTTTTTTCTTTTCTTTTTAAATTCTGTATCTGTATTTTTTACCCTCAACCGTCATATGTACCTAATTTATATATTTGCTTTACAAGGCGTATACTAAACTCTATGGTAATTTAGTGTATTTAGTGTTGTTTAATTAACTTTTATCTCTCCTTATCGCCGTCTTGATCTCTCAACACCTTCTCGCTCTTACCGGATGGACGCTCGGGGATCAGGTCTTATCTCTTATCTCACGCGCGCCCTCTTCTCGCCCGCGGTGCTCGGGTCTGCGTGGGCGGGTCTCGTTCCGGGCGGGCGCGGAGCGGTCGCGCGCGCGTGTATGTATATATGCAGAGATGCACATGTACACACGCACACTCTCTCTCTCTCTCTCTCTCTCTCTCCTCTCTCTCTCTCTCTCTCTCTCTCTCTCTCTCTCTCTCTCTCTCTCTTCTCTCCCTCCCTCCCTTTCTCACTCACACGCAACACAGATGAATTAAGAAACAAAATACCAAGTGAAAGGAAATTACTTGACCGTCAATATTTAAGTCATTACCGCAAGTCGTGATTTACGCAGAGGCGAGACAGGCACAAACAGCATGGATATCGTGACACACACATACACAAGACGTCCCTGAAGTTCCTGTTGTTTTTTGTTTTTGAAGGAGAGAGAGAGAGAGAGAGAGAGAGAGAGCGAGAGAGAGAGAGGGAGAGCGAGAGAGAGAGAGGGAGAGGAGAGAGAGAGAGAGAGAGAGAGAGAGAGAGGAGAGCGAGAGCGAGAGAGCGAGCGAGAGCGAGAGCGAGAGCGAGAGCGAGAGCGAGAGCGAGAGCGAGAGAGAGAGAGAGAGAGAGAGAGAGAGAGAGAGAGGAGAGAGAGAGAGAGAGAGAGAGAGAGAGAGTAGTAATGGTATCATTACAAAACCGACAGCACTGCCATTGATCTTTTTTTCATATCACTGATAACAATATGATAGCAACGATAATCATGGCATATATGTTATGATCATTACCGTAGGAAAAAAAAAAAAAAAATGTATATAATTTTCGTTTTCGTTATCCCCCCCCCCCCCCCTCTCTCTCTCTCTCTCTCTCTCTCTCTCCCTCTCTCTCTCTCTCTCTCTCTCTCTCTCTCTCTCTCTCTCTCTCTCTCTCGCTCTCTCGCTCTCTCCCTCCCTCTCCCTCCCCTCCTCCTCCTCCCTCCTCTTTATCTCCTTTTCTGCTCTCCTTCCCCTCCCCCCTCTTCTCTCCTCCTCCCTCCCTCCCTCCCTCCCCCTCTTCTCTCCTTTTCTGCCTCTCCTTCCCCTCCCCCTCTTCCTCCCTCCCTCCCTTTTCCCTTCTCTGTTGTCTCCTGCACCTCCTCCTCCAGATCAAGAGAACCGAGATACGTTTCGTGGGCCTCGCGGCGCCTCCTCCTCGACCGCCACACCTCGCATCGCAGAAGCCGTGATGGGCCATTAGCAAAATAGATAATCACGAAATAGATAATGGGTCTTTGCTCCTGAATGAATCGTCCTTTGGAATTCATGAAATAGATAATGGATCTCTGTTTCTGAATGAATCGTACTTTGAACGAACTGGAGAGAAAAAAGTAAGAGAAAGAAAGAAGTGATAAGACAGAATGGATGAAAGGGACGAGGAGACGTGAGAGCAAAGGGACAGAGGAAGACAAGACAAAAAGGGACGCAGACGAATGGCGAGTAAAGGAGGCGCGAAGAACGAGAGAAACTCGAAACGACGAAAGAAAAAAATGTCAACGACGAAAAAGGAATCGAAAGCAACATGATAACAAAGATTGAAATGGAATCAGAACAAAGGAAAGCAAAAGGGATAGCGAAAAGAGAGAGAGATGGGGGGCAGAGAGAGAGAGGCAGAGAGGGAGGGAGGGATAGAGAGAATGAGATAGAGTGAGAGAGAGTGACTAAGAAAGAGAGTGAGTTACACATCATCTTCTGAGTACGAAAAGGATACCATTATATAATCATAACGTCATCCTCCTCTTCGTCCTGATCTTCCTCCATCTCTATCTCCACCTCCTTCTGGTCCGCGTCGTCATTGTCCTCCTCCCTCTCCTCTTCCTCTTCTCCTCTTCTTCCTCACCCCTGCTGCTTTTACTTCTCCTTCTCCACCTCCCCCTCCTCCTCCTTCCACTCCTCCCTTTCTTCCTCCTCCTTCTCCTTTTCCTTCTCTTATTCCTCCTCCTCCTCTTATTTCCTCCTCCTCCTCCTCCTCTCCTTCTCCTCCTCCCCCTTCCCCCACCCGCCCAATGAAGGTGGAAGGGCGCAGGGGGTCGATGTGTCCTTGGAACAGCCAAGTTCAACTGCTAAAAGGAAAAGGAAATAATTTAGTTCGCCAGGTTGGTCAGCCATGTAGGAAAGAGCGGGTTTGGCAGGATTGACGAGAAAGTAGATCAGAGTTGTTTTTTGTGTGTGTGTGTGTGTGCTTGCGTGCGTGCGCGCGCATGTGTGTGTAGGTATGGACGTGTGTATGTATGCATATGTACCGCCCGAAAAGACTACGGGGCAGCATCCACGCTCGCCCGTTTCAACGTCAGAGAAAATGTTCAGCTTTACCGAACGTGGGCGAGCTGTTGCCCTTTTTGTG